TTTTTTTTTTGTTGTTGTCGAAATTCATGAAAGGAAGTAACTGCTTTTAAAAGTAATAACTTCTCCAGAGTGAATTACTCTCATAAGTTTTGCACTGATTTCTTCTGCTAATGAATTGAGGACATGCAAGGCAAACTTAGCTCATTGATTTAAGCACTTGACTTTTGACCAGTGGGCCTCGGGTTCGAATCCCACTGTGCCTACCTAGAGCGGGTAACTGGGCAGTATCATTAACCCTTACACAATAAGTGTCACTCATAATCCCTGGAATATGAAACACCCCTTCCAGGAACTGAGTTCAAAGATTGCATGCTAATCGTTTGGTTCAATGATAACACTCGCATCTTGTAACTCAATGATCCTGAGCTCATTGCTCCATGCGGTCATGTGTTTGCATTAGTAAAAAGTGCCAAGCTAGAAAATACTCGCTCTGTTAGCTCTCCTTAGTTTCTAAATACATCTCTGGCTATTTTCATTGAAAACCTGGTTCACTAATGTGTTTATTATTAATCTCTATTAAGGAAAAAGCTGAAGTCAAAGAAGCATTTGATCGTTATCGTGAAGAAGTATCTGAAATGGTTGAAAATATAGAAATGATCACTTTAGATAAAGAAATGACCGAAGAAAAACTAGAAAGATTGACTGGAGAAATTGAATTACTTAAGGAACAAGTAGAAGAATTAACTCTTGAGAATCAAATCTTGAAAGAAGAATTTGAAGAAAAAGGTTAGTAGTAATGATTTAAGTTGTTTCAAGGTTATTTTAAAATCGTTTCTATTGTATATGTTATTATTATTCATTAGGGTTCCTAGTGGAACATATTGCTTCAGCAACACATCGATCGATATTTCATCCTGTCGCCTTCGGCCTGTCGTAGCTGGCCCCACGATTGCTCATAACTTTCATCTCCACTTCACACGGCCTCCTTCATGTCACTCTCGTGTGCCCAACTCATCGATTGTTGTTTGAATCTCACTCGAGGGTCTGGCACGTGATGTGTCACTCGATAGTTTTCTCAGCCTGTGTCCAATGCGTTTATGTTTTCCTCTGCATATTTGTTGGACGATATGATCTTGGGTGGTTTTTTCGTGCCGGAGCTCCTGGTTGCTTGCTTATCCTTACTTGTCATTTAATCTGCAGTATGGAGCGAACGCATCTGAAGCCTCTTCGAAAAGTTTCTACTATAGTTGGGATAAACTACTGAAAAGGAAATTGTACTAGTCAAGTGATTTACACAGCAGTGTTTCCATTGATATCTTAGCTCTTAAAAATTCTCGTTTAACACCTCACAGAATGTGATCTAACCACCCATCTGAACTTTCTATAAGATGCTATTAACCACGTTAGCTCACAGGTTGCGAAACAAGTCAATCAACTAAGGTAGAGACACAGGCATATCGTGAAAACAATTTCATCGTATTTTATTATCAGTCATTTATAACTTGGATAAACATTTCACTTTTTTTCTTCAGTGTTATCGGCTTTACTCTAATCGCAGAACTGTCAACTGACATTGTGCTCATTACTTTTCAGGAGCTATTGTGGTAACTATCTCCATACTTGTTGTTCATGTATTTTGAGAAGTCATTTTATATACTTCAAGGTAGTATTTAGGCATCTACTGAATGAGTTCATCAGTCCAGTTGTTAGCGCCAGATGTCCGGATTCGCCCTTTCAACCAGGCAGCTTAAAGGTAGTAAACATGAATTACGTAATCAAAGGCTATAAACGCGTAAGCACATGAGACGACTTCTAGAGGAAGACTGAAGTCTACCCACCGTCGACCGTACCAGGTCGTTAATTGTAGCTGTATACCAAACTGAAGCTGATCAATTCGTGTCAGATTTATCAGCAGGGAATCACATAAATAAGCTAATACTGTCAGTGCGTGACATTACTCAAAACTCATTTTTCAATTCTGAGGATAAAGATTTACCGACTGGTAAAGAAGAATATGTAAAAATATAAAAGGTCACCCTGTCCCTTTATAGAATAATTTTATTTGGGGAGAAAAACAGTGATGCAACATTTTTTACTGATGACGTTTCGACAACAATTTATTGCTTACAACTATATCAAGGCACTCACATAACTTTTAAACTTCGTTTATGTAATTCTATTATTTCTTATCCATATCTCCAGTATACCAGCGTTACGTTATTCCTACTCATGTGTTACCTATAGATTAAATGAAGAAAAATTCAATGCTCGATTTCTCTCCACCTATTTATATTACTTTTTAGAACTGTAGCTCTCTCCCCATTGTATTGTGTGATTTTCATTTTTGTGAAGTCCATCATTTCACACTAAGCCAAATTCGTATGCTCCAATAATCTGACCAAACAACTGGTCTTACAGTTGTAGTTGATCTCACAGTCACTGCAGGTCATTATATTGATTAAATAGTTTTGTCTAATAGGGTCCCTTAATCTCTGAGTTACTTTGTAGGTTTAAATTCCACCCTAATTCCTGCCTTGTTATGAATCCTACGTCGAGTTATTTTATCGAATGAAATGATCCCATGATATGGAATTATACTCTGTTCCTACATCAAGGGCAACTGCGTTTTCTTGTCTAGAAATTCGCCAACATTTTTCTCTTACTTAAGGAGATAAATTACTAGACATTGCGTTCCTAGTTACTTATTGCATTCTACGTTGTTATCTCTCTTTCTCTTTCTTGTGGGAAATAGCGGGTGCAGTATCAGTCGGTGTTGAAGGCGGTCCAACTCTCTTACAGTTTAAAAATCTTGAACAACAAAATGAACGAATGAAAGGAGCACTGGTCAAGCTACGTGATTTGGTTAATCAAGATAAATCGGAAATTTCAGCTTTAACTAAACAGGTAAATTCCTGCTTAATAATTTTTATGTATGATGCAGTGAGCAAAGAAAGAAACTCGATGAAGGTAAAGTTGTAATTTTGATGTTCTTGCGTTCTTTGAGCTGGCTGATTTTAAAACTGCGAAACTTTCATGTTCCTTCCGAACAACATCTTCAGTACAAGCTTTTTATCAAAGCGCATCGGGTGCAGGGTTCTAGTCTGAGTGGAACACCAGCATACGTACGTCCAGATGATGAATCTCAAATAGGACGAAGTGCTCATCCTACATTCCTCTGCTAGTCACTGTTATCATAGTAAAGGTTTTTCTAACTTATGAGATAAGTAGTGAATGCACTCAACTTACCAATTCAATATTTCTAAACTTATTAATATTCTGTACACGAATCAAGTCTACTTTTAAGAACACTAAACAGGCTACCAAAAGTTATAAATATTAATGGAGCTGTATAGCTGAGTATTGTGAATTCTTCGCATATTGGCTTTAACTGTGTTTTGAATTTCGTTTATTCTTCCAACTCTTCTTTTAACATCAACTCACTCATAGACAATATCAAAGTTTACAGTTAAGTCTGAGATAACAGTTTGTCTGAGTGGGAAAATAAAGCCTAAAAGTGAATGGTCGAGCAAATGGAAGTGATGAATGATGTGATAAGAGTTATTTACCTCTGTTGTCTTACGATTTTTGTGAAGCTCAAAATGTTATGGGGACAGTCCAAATCTGTGACCTTTAAGTCCAATTCGAAAATAAGCAAAGCAATGTCATGATGCATTTTATCTTAATTTTGGTAACTAAGTCAAATCTGTAAGCTATTTTTACCTGTACACATTCTGTATGGAATCAAGGCGTTTTAAACTCGTCACATGGTACCCCATATTCACCAAGCCTTCATTTTTGTGGCAAAATTTCTTCCACATAATAATGCTGTTAGTAGGACGCCCGTGTAAACTCTATGAAAATGTGTCTATTAGTAAGGTATTTCGAGAAGGTTAGATCAGCTGAGATTCTTTGGTTGTACTTGGTGCATTTAACCGCCATTTATCGCTGATTTATTGTTATTGTCTATTATATCTGTAACGGCCAGTTAGATCAGTTCACTCTTATTGCTTTCTTTAAACTAGACGACTAATGGTAGTAGTAAGGTTTTCACCATCACAATGAACTATACAGTCAGAAAATAGAAGTTAATTGGTGGATGGTGACTAGCAATAGAATCCAGGATGCGCATTTCGGCCTATTTGGGACTCGTCAATTGGATCTAGCTGTATTCCGCAGTGAGTGATGATGTCCCCACTGAGGCTCGGACGCAGTGCCCATAGCTTCAAACGCCAAAGCGTTATCCACTAGACCACTTGGGCCAAGATGGCCACCTCTTGTGCAATGGGTCATATTAATTATTTAATTCAACTGGAACTGTCTCATATGTGTGCAAAGTTCTATGTTGAGATCAGTAAGTTAGTCAGCTTTATCTGTATATTCATTTATACTAATTCAGCTCACTTCTATGCTATTTTGTAATATTAAATAGCTTGAAACAGACATCACAGTCACTGACGTCTGATATCGTATTGAGATTGTGGGAATTTCGTTGTAGGGATTTGGATTAATTTTACTGCATATTTCGTCTCAATCCAATATCAGTTAAAAAATTATCAAAAACCATAGAACACTAGACAGTGGTTTTGTCCCAACTTGTGGCTCTTCAGCAGCATGCTGAATAGTCAACGGAATCAGCCTTGTGACATGAAGGTCCTGAATTCGACCTCCGTTGGGGACGTGAGTGCGTATTGCTGAAGAGTTCTAATCAATTACGAAACAGTTGTCTGGAGCTCCTTGATTTTGAATATTTCCCTAACTGATGTTGGTTCACGACGAAATCTACACTATCACATTGTATTTACCTACTTTTTATGAGAATTTGAAATACCAAACTTTAAACTGAATAATTAATTTTGTTTATTTGTATTTTAAAGATTACATCTTTAGAATCAGAAGTTAGTCAACTTCAAACAGAAAAAGAACGATTAACAAAAAATTTAAAAGATAGTGTTGAACAAATTATTGAATTAAAAGAACAAGTGGATGCTTACCTCGGCATTGATACAATGGTCAGTCAGTTGACACAACGTAATTTAGAACTGGAAGAAACGCTTGAGAAAATTAAAGAAGAAAGAAATGATCTGGTATGTATACACATGTTGATGTTGATATGCTTAATAAATCCTTCATATGTATCCCTGCAGATGTTATGATTCCCAAATCTAATAGTATAAATAATGACTGCTTCTCGTGTTTTAACACGAACGATGTCCTTAATTGTCTTCAATCTCTGAAACCTACCCAGTCCCTTGGTCCTGATGGAGTTCCTGCTGTTATCCTTAAGAAGTGTGCTGACATCTTATGTTACCCATTAACCGACATTTTCAATGAATCCTTTTCCCAAAGTATTATTCCGGACTCATGGAAAAATATCTAGGTTGTTCCAGTACCTAAATCAACAAGTGGACCTACTGTTAAGTTTCGACCGATTGCTATTACCTCACCTTTTTTAAAAGTTATGGAAAGACTTATTTTACTTAATCTTGAACCCTCTTTAAAGCCTTTTAATGACCCCAACCAGTTTGACAATAAACATAGTAGGAGTACCTTAGATGCCGCTGTTGTTCTACATCATAATATAGTCTCTAGTTTAGATAGAGGAGCCAAATATGTTCGGTGTGCCTCCCTTGATTACACATCTGCATTTGACTCTGTTCCTAGGTCTCTTGCTAAGTAGAAAACGGGCTTGAGTATAAACTGCAACTCAGAGATGTAATTGGGTAATTAAAATAAAATAAAATGGAGTAAATGAGAGAAATTCTGATGGAAAGAAAATCGGGTAGCCTAGTTATTTAAGCAGACCATTATTGTTTGCTCTGATTTATTCTTAATGTTGGTGCTCTACAATCTTTTATTTACACGGTTTGCGGAAAACTGTAAATAAATCGTTGTTAATGTAACAGGATATTATGAAATATCTTTAATTTCTAGTGTAAATGTAGTTCACACTTTTTTTTGTCTCACTTTACCCACTTACCTAACTACCGTTCATTCGTTAGTTAAACTACTATGGAATGGGAATTAGTTGTAGCATTTCTACACTCAATAATGACGAAAGTTTCCTGCAAGCGATGTGACTCCTTCATATTTCTAATTAATTAACTCTAACTAAACGGTCGGTTAGGAGCGGACAGGTGGTGTTCAATCCATGACGTGTTGTCATGGGATAGAGAATAGTTGTCATTAGTTTAGCATCTCTTGTTGCACCGCTACCCCGAATGACAGTCCAAATCACTGACTTGAGTTGTTATCAAATATGGCTGAGAATCGTAATCTGAGAGTAGCATGCGGTGATAAGTCCCCTGAATAAGTATGCTTGCGAGTTTGCATAATTCTGTTCCCCAGCTACTCCATTTCTCTTCCTTATACTGTGTCTTATTGTTTTTGTTTTGTGTGGCACATCTCGTGTTGCCCATATTGTAGCAAGTTGCTGCTGAAATAATAACAAGAATGAGGATGGATTTCCCGCCGATGAAATTAGTTGGTGGTCGCGCTAAAAACACGAATTGGTAGAAGTTAGAATTCATGGGCCAGTGGCTGAATGGAATACGAGCTTGCCTTGTAACCGGAAGGCCCTGGGATCGAACCCCAGTCCGTGCATACTTTCTCTCGGAAATTAGTCAGTGGTCCTCTTCAAACGGTCCTAAGCTGAATCCGTCTAAATATCAGGTAGTAAATTTCACTTTCAGACGAAAACGTGACCTACAACAACTAGCTAGCTCACATGGTCCCACTATCATTGATGGCATAGAGATTGAAACTACCTCTAATGTCAAATACCTTGGACTGAGGATTTCCTCCGATCTTTCCTGGTCCTCTCACATCTTGCTAGTTACTAGAAAGATGTTTCGCTTGACGTTCTACGTTAGGAAGTTAAGGCAGTCTGGTATAAAGCAGTCTTTGCTTTCTCAGTTTGTCAACTCTTGTATTCTAACGATCCCTCTTTACTGCTCCCCATTAATCTTTCCTGGATTACTTAAGAAAGACTTTGCTTTGCTGCGTAGGGCACTAAAAGCTGTTAGTAGGGGAAGTGGGATTTCGTTAAACCAACTGGTTAACACCATTGTGGATAGACATATAATGTCATGTAAGCTACTAGCGAATTCTCTATACGCAGCTCTCTCCTTGCATTTCATCTGGTAGAACTAGAAGCAACTATAGGAGGCTATATGCCAGGGCTCCCAAGTACAAGAACTTCACAATACCTTATCTGGCACAGCTGTTATGTGATGAGAAAACTGTTAGGTATGACACGATCAACTTACTGCGGCACTCGAACAAATAGTTCCCATTAGCTTTTGTTCTCCTTTCTTTGTAACTATTATATTGTTGCTCACATATTCTATTACACATTAATCTTATATTTCATATCCTGTGGTGCATTGTTTAAATATGTGAATGCAATGCCGTTCTTTTTTATTTCTTTTATTTCTCGTCTTTTCTTTTTGTTGTTGTTGCTTTTTATTTTTAAAATCTTATAAAATTTATGAGGTAATTAGATGTAATATTGTAATGCACGCTGAAAATTCCATACCTGTACCACAAATACTGTTTGGAATAAAGCTATTATTATTATTATTATTAAGCTGTAAATATACCATGCCCCTTTTTCAATCTGCAAAGCTATAGACTGCAATCATATTCTATGTTCAATTTAAATGCGAGCATCCAAAGTATTACCTTATATTGATCTTTACAATAGAGACAACAGTACTGAAAGTAATAGTAAGGCGATAACCATCACTAAAGCTCAGCATTTTTTTGATGTTAACAGAAAGTTGATATTACTACTATGTGGAGTTTATAACAAAAAGTCTAGAAATGATAAGAATTAACCGTCTTTGATTTTAAAAAGTGCTTTGATTAAATAATTATTTGCTTCTTTTTTTTCCTATGGTTTTTATAGGAAGCTCTTTGTGAAATGAATGATGAATTGCAAGAGAATAGTCGTCAAACAAAACTTGAACTACTTGAAGAAATTGAACGAGCCAACAGTCAAATTAATCAACTTGTACGTCACTTAGATGCGACACGTGAAACAATTGCAGACTATGAACAAACTCTTGGTAAATTTAGAGATTTAGTCTCTGATTTACAAACACAAAATACTGATCTACGTAGGTCATTAGCGGATGAAAAACGCCTACAGGAAGAGCAACAGCAACAAAATGCCTATCGTACAGTTGCAACAGATCTTGTCGGTTCTACAGCTGCATTTATGGGGGGTAAATTCGGATTAGGCTCTCAAGTACAAACTCTTGCTAAAGTGAGTATTTCATATCATTATTTTTATTGATATCAATCTGTGATGAAAAGTGAAAACAAATAAAATTCCTAGAAATCAACACTTAAAAAGTAATCTGATACTCACTAGTGGTTGACTTACCGATTGCAGTCACCCAAAGTTCTAGGGGAAAGTCGTGACTAGCCGAGTCCGCCAAGTTGGGTGTGAGGACAAATATTCACCGCTGACATATTGGCTGGTGGTGATGTTGTATATCGGGAAACTGGCAGAAGTTAGAAGTGTGAAAAGTCATTGGATTCCATCCGAGTGGCTGAATGGTTATCGAGCTCGCCTTTTAACCTGCAGGTCTAGGGTTCCATCCTGCGTGAGGTGGTTATAGGTTCGTACTGCTGTCAAATACTCCCTGGGTTTCAGTGACTGACTCTCCAAATGATATTAATCCGTGATCACACTTGAAACCAATCAAATGGCTACAAGCTAGCGCTTGAAAATGATTTTTATTGCTAATTTTATTGATTTTACGCAATATTTGACACAGCGATTATTCATCGATACAAATTAAGTAATCCTGAAAGACCATTGTACACACAGAAATCAGAGTAATAATTAAAAGTAAACAAAATGAAAAGGATTATAATGAAGGAAGTTTTCTATTCACCGAAATTAATTTTAAAACTTCATACTGGTTTATTTATACTAGAAGAAACAGAATATTTTATAATAATATCAAATTAGGGATTGAAATAGGCTCAGTGGGAAAATTTCTAACGCTGGTTTGCAAGGATTTAATTGATTTCAAATTGGATCATGAACCGACTTCAATTAGAGAACTATTGAAAACCAAGTAGTACTAAATATCTCTCTCTTCCTAGTTTTGTGAATTTCCAATAGTAGATACCTATCACCACCTCACTAGAGGTCGAACACAGGACTCTTCATTTTACAGGAAGAACTCGTTGATCACTCAGTCGCTGGGACAGAATCCAGTGGGCGGGCCATCAATTCTGACTTCTGCCAGTTTTGCGATTTATAGCTCCGCTGGCAGCCACCAACATCATCTGCAAGTAATTGTCGTCACAATCAACTTGGTGTGCCCCGTTTATGACAACCTCTCGCATCGTTCGACGCCTGGTGAAGTTATGAGTGCGTGTTGTTGAAGAGCTATAAATGGGGACAAAACATATATTGTTCATTTTAATTTCATTAACTACTAAAATCTTGTCCGCAATTAGTAATTGTTTACTTTAAAGATGCCTATGTTTTTATATCTACATGGCAAGTCAATAACCTTTTTTATGCTAAATGCCTTTTAAACTTAATTTTGACATCCCGTTCGTCTTAGAAATAAACTCCGCTTTCCTTATATCACTATGATAAGCTATAACGACTATTGGAATTATACTTTTACCGATTTGAATTAGTTTAACAACTCAATTATCATTTACACTTCTCGTGTTTTAATCTGTAAGCAACATGTAATCTTTTAGAGATATATGGTTACCTAAATTTCGGTTAATTTTTTGGAATCTGAATGATAAGTGTGGTGTCTTAACCAATTTGCCTGAAGTAGATACGATGGCTTGGTTTTCTTAGAATGATACGGAGAAGGTCATGTGAGAAGGAAACGAAAACTCCTGGACAGTAGTGAAGCTATTTTTTCCTTGAGTTCTGATGGAAACATAGGGGTTTGATAACACATCTGCTTTGCAATCTGTTCTCTGAAGTCCCACTCTCGGTTAGCTTCACTACTAGATGGTCGCAGGCAATCGGCAGGAAGCCTTGGACCCTAGTTTTCGTGATTCTTGGCACTCGTCGGGAAGGCATATCTGCAACCTTGAAGGAACTCGTATCCCTTCTGAGATTCGAACCCACGTCACCCAGTGCTGCAGTCAGAGCCGTTACCACTGAGCTATTCAGGCTCGCGACTGACCTCCTGTAGGCCTGTATTGGCTATTTTTGATTCGATACTAGTTAGTAGCTAGCGTAATGTGTCTAGTCCTTTGTTTTGTGCAGACTGAATTCTGTCAGTCAAGTTTGCAATGTGGCCACCAACTACCACGAAACCTAGGTTCAAGGTTTCCTGCCGATGTCTTCCAACCATCTAACACCAACAATTGACAGTGCACTCTGATGGCGAGCCACCTAGCATCGTGGCCACATTGCGAACTCGACTGATAGAATTCAGTCTGCACAAAACAAAGGACTAGACACATTACGCTAGCTACTAACTAGTATCGAATCAAAAAGAGCCAATACAGTCCTACAGGAGGTCAGTCGCGAGACCGAATAGCTCAGTGATAACGTCTCTGACCGCAGCACTGGGTGACGTGGGTGCTAATCTCAGAAGGGATACGAGTTCCTTCAGGGCTGCAAGTATGCCTTCCTGACGAGTGCCAAGAACCACGAAACCTAGGTTCAAGGCTGTCGAATCCCTATGTTTCAGTCAGAATTCAAGGAACAAATAATACTATTAATATTAGAGTTTTTAGAAGTTGCGGCTCATTGGTCTCTGTGCCCGACTTTCAACACGTTGGTCACACGTTCGAACTCCACTCCAAGCATTGAAGTTTACACAGCCTGTGACAGTATGACCCAACCCTCACACAACATGTGTAGATTAGCCTTAACTATATGAAATTGCAAATGACTGTTGAGTAACGTTGAGTTGGGTTGAGTTGATTAGTATTTCAAGTTCTAACTGATATTTATGTTTTAATTTCAATCATTCATGATGAACTCTTCTGTATTCTACTTGCTACTTTGAATTCATGTTACCATATTGTGTTTTACTGTCTTATTTAACATTGAAAAAAGGTAATTGAAGCTGAATTAAGACGCCTTGAAGCAGAACAAACTGCAAATCATGTGACGCGGTTATCTGCTTTCTTACCTGACTCATTTCTCCGAAGTGGTGGTGATAATGAGGCATTACTTACACTTTTGTTAATCGACCGACTAGCTGGGAAATGCGATCTGCTGGCTAATCATGTAAGTTTAATCTTATTCTCTCAATTTGTGATATTTTACTGTATATAATAAATTATACGTCGTAATATAGTCTCAGAGTAGTGTATGTGTCCACGAATTGTACTACTTTTCGTGTGTACAATGCGTTACTGATATTCAGATTGGGGGACACAACTCTCTAATTTACTTTGCTCTAAACAAATGAATGTTTATGAGTTAATGAGATACCATAGATTTGTGTGATGCTTCCTTAATAATATTCGACAAATAAATGCAAATGTACGAACGATTTTGAGGCATATCACTAAAAGTCTCAAGCAAATAGTTCTTAGTGTCTCGGGGATCCCAGCCGAGTAGTCCATTCGACTACCTCTAACTATTATCCAAGCTAGTCCTGTGTCTGTTAACATTGCTCAATCAGGGAGGTAGTGACTTGGCATGTGTGACACATATCCCATCGATCTCGATTAATTTAGCTTCACAATTTCATTGACAGACTTCCTCTTCTCATCTAACTTCACTATTACCCACCATATTATACCGCTTAACACGAGAGATGGGAAGCATACACCTATGATCAGTGACAACTAACCTCTTCATATCTCTCACTTTCAACAACGTAAGCAGAACGAACTGCTGCGCGGTACATATGTCCTTTAATCGATAGTTGTATATCCCACCCATTACTTTAATGAAGGTGAACGAAAATGGGGACAATGAACATACCCGACGGACACTTTTGATGTTCATCACTTGACATGATAACTCTCCATAGGGTCTAACAAGGCCGTGTGAGTTCGAGTAAAGCGTCTTGGTTAGTGTGATATACTTTTTCGGCACTCTGTTCACGACGAAACATTGATACATTACCTCTCGGTTGACGGAGTCAAATACCGCCTTTAGGTTAAGAAATGTAAGATTTGTTGGACACCGGTAAGTATGCCTATATTTCAGAATCTGTCGAAGGGTATAAATGTGATCCAAACACTCTCGTCTGGGCCTAAGGCCTGACTTGTTTTCACTGGTTTGTTCCTACCAAGTACCGCTTAGTGGACGCGTGATTATTTGTACTAGTCAAGCCAGTCAAGCTTAACCCTATGATTGTTCTCACAGGCAAACGTGTCTCCCTTCCTATAAACTAGAATAATCAATGATTTACACCAGTCCAACGAAACTATTCCTAGACACTACATAATATCTTAGTTAAAACAGTTAACAATTCATCACCACTATTCTGAAACACTTATAGAGTGATTTCATAAGGACCTGTTGCTTTTCCTCGTTTCAGACTAAAGACAGCTTTTGCGACCTCAGTTACAATTAAAGGACTAATGTCTACAGTCCATTCAGATAGGTGCTGGATGCTGAACAAACTAAGTATAACTGTAGGTTAGTTAAAGTGCTCCTCAAAATGCTTACTGACTAGCGAAATAAGTGTAAAATCGTTAAAACCAGTCAGTGGGAATTTATTAAGGGTGGATAATTATAAATAATGAGATACGAAATATGATGGAATATTTGGGAGAATGAACTATGGTCTAAATAAGCATTTAAATGACAAACAGTTTGCATTACGTCACAATTACATCGCTTGAGGGAAGTAGAAGCATTTTTTTTCAACACTAAAAGGCTAAGATAGTAGAAGAAAGCAGAGTTTTAACCAGTTTTTTTTTTCTGTGTACAAAGCTGCAGCTCCTGTAATTCGACATTTAGGGCATCAGGAGTGCAAAGAAAGTGAATATACGCTGATTCTGATGGGTTATTTAACAGTTCTTAGGTGTAATTTCGGAGGGTAAAGTTGTCGTGATTGAGTGATCAGTGTTGACCTGATGTTCAGCTATCGCAGATCTTGCAGACTGATTTCTACTTCTTCCTTAACCATCAATCAATCTTAGGATCTTTACATTCGTTAGGTAGTTGAAAGGAATCGACAGGAAGCCATTACAAGCATCTTGTGCAACGGATATCAGTTATTACTTTTGTTTTTAGGTTAAAATTTTGCATTTCCCGTTGGTCGATTATGTTGACCTGAAATGCTGGGTCTCTCTGTTGACATGTCGGCCGCTAGTACGGATGCTTCGACTGTGTCTTAGGAATGGTGTGAAGTCACTTCGGTTGATGATGACTAGCAATGGAATCCAAGATGTGTATTTCGTCGTGTTTGGGACTCGGCAGCTGCATGCACAGAGCACTTCGATCCAACACATAATCAATCAACGATAAATGCAAATTAACCTAAGAGCAAATATATTCACAATCGTTTTATATTTATAGCATTTAATCCCACACTAAATGATTTACTTTCAGCTTGTTGAACGTTATCCATTGCCTCCTTGTGTTCCGGGTCAAGCACCACTACAGATGTCTCAAGGTGAAACCAGTACTACTACTGCTGATAATCCAACTGAAGTTGTTTGTGGAATTTGTATTCCTGGTACTGATAATCCACTGACTAAAACACAATCAGAATTCTATAGTTTTATAACTAGACTAATTCATCTACTCCGGTCAATGGCTTCTTTGTTAGGCCAGTGTAAACAGTAAGTGATTTTGTGTATTTAGTCTAATTGATAATATTCTAGTGGTAGTTTGTAGGTAAGATGAGTGGGTTGATTGATTTCAAGTAAGATTTGGCCATAAAGTGACTTCAGAGGGAGAGAGAGTGATTGAAAATCAAAGGGTAATGCGAGTTTATTTCGTCTTAGTCTGTGACTCCTCAGCAGTAGGCATAACCCGACCTGGCATTGAAACGAGAACCTTCAAGGTATGAAGCGATCAGATTCTTGAACATTGTGGAGTGCAGCAGACCAGTAGCCTTATGGTCACACCACCTGCCAAGTGATTCACAACGGAAAGCTCAGTGAATTGTTCGAAGTGAAGACAGGAATAAGACAAGGCTGCCTACTATCACTAGTGGGTTGGGTCATGCGGCAGACTGTGGAGGGGGAGTAGAAAAACAGGCATACATTGGACTGACAAAAAGACTGGAAGATTTGGACGTCGTGAATGATTTCTGTCTCGTGTCTCTCAAATTTGACGATTTACAAGGAAACACCAACAAGTTTGCAGAATTGGCAGCAAAGACGGAATTTCAATTGAATAGAGTGAACAACAATCATCAGTTACCGGCAACGGGAGAAACCTGAAGGAAGTCTTTTCCTTCACTCAACTGGACATCATCGTTTCAACTATAGGCGACACGGATGGGTATGTCAAAGCCAGTCAGAGTTCGGAAATCACGACAGTCATGCATTAAATCTGAAAACAATGTGGAAATTTACCTCACTCAGCACAGAAAAATCCCCAATTTTCAGTACTAATGTCAAGTCAGTGCTTCTATATGGTTGAGAAAGCTGGCGCGCACACTACGTAAAATATTCCCCAGAAGCTGCAGACTTTCATCAATAGGTGTCTTCTCTAGCTCCATACTGAAGACCAATTAGCCAGTCAGCAAAGATAAGTGTCAAGGAAGTCTCGCAACGAACAAACCACTAACTTGTTGCCCAACAAATGTGCAGAAAGAAAAAAAGAGCCGGATTGCGCATACGTTTATGAAATTGTTAGGTGGTGTGCTGCTAAAGTCCTATGTTGTTCCACGCGGAATCCAAGGGATGAATAATATAGTCACAAATATGCTCCACTGTGAACATGCAGTAGGTTCAGAATACGGATATCCAGAATTATCAGCTTTCTATTAACCCTTATTTATTCGATATAGTATTTCACACTGAAAATTTTCACTTAATGTTAAGATATTATGAGTGACATGAATAGAAAATACAGCCACTAGTGTATAACTTTCGGATTGTTTGTCGTACTTTTTATCATTTTTTCAAATGATAAACACTATTGAAAAAACAACTCTACAATTTTAACATTCAGTAAGCAAATTTACTCCTATATGGAATTGCTCCTGTTCAAATCTTAAAAAGGGTGTTGTTGGCACAGAGGTAGAATGCTCGCCAACCACGCAGGAGGTTCGGGGTTCGATCCCCAGCCGACGCATTCCTCTACTTCACTAAGCCAGTAATAAGACTGGTAAAGAGGGAAGGTTGGGCTTCCATTATGTCACTGGATACGTCAGATACATTGAAATCAAGGTCAGTTGTTTCTTCAGGGTTGAATTGTTTAGTTCTTCAAGTCTACAAACCTCCCCAAGTTAGTACCAATAAACGCAGCTCCGGCCTTAAATTATATCTTAATGTCTTTGTTTTGGCGAACGGCTACTGCTCAACTGTCCAGTTTCTGTTTTCTTTCATCTTCGAATAATAATCCAACAGCTCTCATCTATCATCAAATACTGCTGTATCTCGAATCATATTTCACTGCAGATAATCTCTTTAGAGATTATACATCTTCATCGCCAGATGGATTCTGATGTTTGGGTGAATGTTAATCTGATTGCTAAGTTGAATAAGAAGTGGTAGATTTACTTTCTTGCTAATTGTTGAGGAGTTTAATGCTTTAGTGTATCGTAAAAAAATAGTCCATGAAAACTGCTAGGCCTAGGGAAGATGTACTGTATTGAAGGTAGCTGCCATCTAGTTTCCCAGGTTGTATATTAAGTGGAGTGGAATGAGAACCTGTGACCCGTATCGTGTGAAAGCTCAAGTGGAAAAGTCAATAAACCACATCTTTACATTTCTGTTAACTTTCGGTTGTTTTGAACTACAGTAACCTGAATTGATTCAGTCCTTTCACAAAGCTCTAATTATCATTAGTTTATTTATCAGTTCTACATATACTTCATTGCGTTTATTGGTTTAGGGGTCCAAGTTCAACTCCTGACCGGTGCATTCCTATACCTTGCCCAGTTCACTAGTCGATAGTAAGCCTGGAAAATAAGGGAGATTGAGTCTGAGGCTAACAATTTTTCATCGTGTAAAAATGCGAACGGTATTGAAATTTCAAAGCTTAATTCCCGAAGCCTTATGTTCTCCTCGGGACACAAAGGTCGAAAATATAAAAGGATTCTTTTCTGTTTTATTTTCCAACTGCAGGATAGCAAACTATGTGTGCACCTTCATCATTTGTAATTGTCTGTTAGATTTATTATCTATTGGTATCACACTTTTAATTTAACATTACTACACTATCGTTTTGCTTATTCTCTCTTTCTTAATAGAGTCCTTTCAGGTTGTAGTGTTGAACTGTATTTGGACTTCGGTTCTTTATATAATGAAATGATTGCACATGAACATTGTATTGATCGATTAATTGAACAAACAAAGAATGATCAGTTGGATGAGACAATTTCATTGGGACCATTATTTTCGTCATACAATTACTTTATTCAATTATATACAGTTCATTTGAAAACAGAACCGCTATTTAATTGTAACAATAAATTACTGGATTTCACGCGAACAATTCTATCAGCTGTTGATGCCTTATCTGTTGACTCAACTGCTTTGATGATATTGACCGGTCAGAATGTTGATTGTTTATCACAAGTGGCTAAAACAGCTGCCACTTGTGTATCTGGACCATTGAGTATGGGTAATATGGATGATGTTGGTTCGTTACTGTTAAGTAATCCTACTGAAAGCGGTTTAATTGGCCTCCTTAGTGAATTAATTCATTTTGCTACAACTGTACGTGTTGTTACGCGTCGAATAAAACGAAGAATCCCGAATAAGCCTACAGGTCAACCGTTATCATTTCACCAGGATGTTTCACAGAAATTAGATTCAGCTATACAATTGTTAGGATCAGTTGTTGGTGCTATGTATCAAACAACTCGTTTAGCTGGCCAGTTAACAGTTCGACAAGTTGTAAGTTTTTTTTTTGAATAACTTGTGAATATGTTCTTTTTCATAATAAAGTTAAACGTATCATATCTTATAAACCATTTCGTTATTCACAATACATGAAAGCACTTATTTTGATTTTAAACTGAAATGCATAATTGGGATGTTAAGCACCACCGATGGCTGAAGATTGGTGATATAGCTCAAAACTGTTCTCATTCCCTCTTTTGATCTCTCTCATATCCAGTGAACTCTCTTGTTTTTCCATTTTTACTATTCTGTCTCTCTGATGTATGTTTCTACTCATTATAATTCCTTTGAATCCCTTCTTTGTCTCTTTTCTCTACTTCTGTGTGCTACATAGAGTGTGGCAACCTAAACTGGTGCACTTCTGTGCAAAGTTCTCTGCTGAAATTCAGTCAGTCATCTGTCAGAAACGCTTAATATTCACATTTCGTAAATATGTGTTTAAAGCTGAATTTGGGGTGAGAGCTGGCTACGAACAAGCCAAAATTGTGAGCAACAATCTACGTCAGTGTTATGTCTGGAATCAGAGTGATGAGAAAAACGATTGCAAAGCTTAACCTTGAGGAACTCACCAACCAATTACGGCGGACTTAACATGTGCAAATAGGATTCGCAGATACATGGCTTGACTTTCTGAGAAACGGCCATAAGCAGTACAAAATAACTTTCAGTAAGAAAACAACCAATCAGAAAAGGTTGCTTCTCCACTGATAATAATGTACATAAAAATCTATAAATACCTTTTGATTTTCTCAATAAACATTCTGTTGCCTGACTCTTGTCTTCTGTCGTTCACAAATTCAGTAATTTATCGTTATTGTATCTAAACCTTATTATTTTCCTCTTTACATATTTTCTAACTCATACGACTATTTTTTACATCCGTCGACTGTAGTGTTGAGATTGTACTGGTGTATTTCTAAAGTTTAATTTCTTTGAAATATGATATATGATCAATAAAGGAGCCTCTCTTTAGCTAAATTATTGTCATCCCTCAGGTGATCGCTGGTCATAATCGTGTAACTTGTTTCATTTTATTAAAGCACACTTGGTACATTGTTGGCACCAAGAAATGTGCCACACAAAACCTCATAGTTTGCACGACACCTGGGATACTGCCCGTTTACCCAGACCGAAGCAGGTGGTCGCTTTTAGGGGTCACCCCTCCCGAGCCTATTAGTTAAAGTTTTATCCACATGGCAGTGGGCCGCATCCCCATGGTTACCGGTGACCGAAACGCGTTCATACTCCATTTTTATCGTTTCAGATCTTGAGTCACGATTTTCCAGCTTCTCCAGGTAGACCAGCAGGTTCACCAGTCCGGTTGTAGGCGCCAGACGTTCGGATTCACTGTTTAATCTTTTTTAGGACCAGGTAGTTTGAAGTGGTTACACCTTGAGTTGCCTCCTTTTCAAAATCAGTTTTTATTTTACTTTATGTGTCGTCTTAAGTTAACCAGTCAACGTTTTTTCTGATTTTAATTAAATTCTAGGAAGATACAGCCAATTTAGACCCCGGTGTTGTTTTCACTCATTGTTTATCAGAAGCTTGTAAAGAATACTTAACACCAGATGCATTCAATACTCGTTCCAGTGTCATTGCACCAGATATAGCAATTCGTAATAATTTAACTCAAGTTGCTCGTATTATCAGTCAAGTGGCATTAGCAATGGAGAATGGAGAATATGACTTTGATGGAACAAAACAAACCGCTGTAAGTTCACTGGATGTTTTTTTCTCCATTGGTAGTTAAAGGAAAGCTGAGTGGATTATGCAGTCCTCTAGGCTTAAGCGCCTATCAAAGTCCACTCATCAGATTTGTAACATGTGCATTAACTTACTAAACACTGTAGTAAACTTGAGATCTAGACAGTCGATCTCTATAGCGCTCTCCGAGCTGAGTAAAACTGGATACACCCCTGATGAGTTCGGCCCGAAACGACTTCCAGTATTTAGATCCCCTTGATTTAGCCAGCAAGCACTATTGGTCGGTATGTAATATGTTTTTTTACAGGGGTCAGGGGATAGTACAAGGAGCAAATAGTCTAAACTGATTACAATTCACGGATTTAATGAATTTTACAATTGATACAAAGTAATCTCAGTAGACCCCACCTGTATACCCGACAAATAGATGCTTATTCGTAGAGGAACAAGTGAGGCAGTAGATGGAAAGTAGTATCTGCATATAGTGTATAACAAAACTGTTAAAATCAACAAGCTTATGTGGGCTCGAAGATCAAAATGTTAACCTTTTTTAAAGGTACAAAACTCAGTATTTTCAGTCGGACGAATATTTTAGAATAAATTTTAGTCAAATTTAACCGTCAAAGCATCATTAAATTAATGACTGTATTTTATAATACTTAATCTAGTTTTAAACATTTTCATACCTATAACTCCCCAAAAAGAGATAAATTGGAGCCCTGTTGTATTGATCACAGCAGTCTTTATTACGTGCTATATGTAGTAGGTGCAGTGCAACCAACTTTTAATAAGTCGGTTAACTCCCTGAGGATATAACTAATAATTATTTTGGTTGACGGTGTATAGCATTATAATCCGCAATGCGCATTTTCGTCCCATTAAGGACTTGCCGGCTGGAAGTACCTGCATCCCTACTGAGTAGTGGTGACGGTGCTGCTCATACTCAGACCCGAACCCTGCACCCATCTTTCCAAACTCCACAGCATTATCCACTGAGCCACGAGAGCCACCCCTTGCGCAACGAGTATCAGTTATTATTTTTGCTTTTAGGTTAATTTTGCATTTCCCGTTTATTGATTATGTTGTACCGAAGGACGTGGTCTCTGTTGACATGTCGCCTCTTAGTACGACGTGTAGGTATTTAACACATCCTAAAATATGAATTCATTTCGTTCTTTCACTATGTATTCTTTTGCACATACCTCTAAGTTAGGATGGTATTTTACACTTTTGTTAATAAATGGACTGATTTTCATTTTCTGATGTTGTATGTGTGTTTATAGCCTCAAGAACCAGTCTCCGCTCGTGCTGTTGCCTATAAACGTGCTCAAGCTGAACTAGAAGGATGTCGTTCTAAATTAGAATCTAAAGCTGAAGAAGTACGAGAATTACAAAAAGCACTTAAAGCACGCGCTGAAGAACTCAGTGAAATGTCTGTACGTGTTGGTTTAGCAGAGAAGAAATTAGAAACATCTGGTAAAGGTTATGAAGAGAAAATAGCTCGTTTAGAACAACGCTTAGAACAATCAGAAGCTCAATTAAAACGAAGCGAAAAGTAGGCCCCTGTTTGCTTATTTTCGGTGTAATTCGATTTTTGTTTCTGATTGATGTAATTGATAAGGGATTTCGCTATCCGATAAGAATTTTGACGAACTGTTACTAATTTTATCTTTGTTCCAGTGTCAAACAGATTGTCACAAATGGGGACAGGAAGTGCACTGGTCCTCAATGACCAAAGGCGGACATATGAAGAGAGAGTGGACAATTTATTTAATGTTTACGTTGATGATACATAGTACATGTATTTGTGCTGGTATGATAGACTTTTCACGATGTCATCTAGTGTCTCCTATTTTATATTCTTAACTTCCAAGTGTTGTTTTAATATAGGAATTTGATTGGTTCGAGATTTGATCACGAGCCGATATTGTAACGACAGAAGACAGATGTCAGGCAACAGATCGTTTATTGAGAAAATCAAGGGATATTTATATATTTTTATGTGCATTATTGTTAGTGTTATTGTTAGCAGAGAAACAGCGTCTTCCGATTGGTCGTTTTCCTACTGGAAGTTATTCTGTCATCTCTTTGTGGCCGTTTCTTTGAAGGTTAGACCATATATCTGCGAATCATATCCGCCCAAGCGAAGTCTGCTGTGATTGGTTGTTGAGTTAGTCCTTGTTTTTGTTTTTTTCTCATGACCAAAATTTGGGACGTAAACATTAATGTAAATTGCCGTCTACCTATGTTGGCTAGCAGACAGCTCTCACCACAATATTAGTTAGGGAACTATAGTAAACCAGGGAGTACTGGGCATCTGTCTTGTCCTAAGTGGGGTCTCTTCATCAGTATGCATCTACCGGAGTTTGAGCTCAGGACCTTCTTTTCACAAGACGAGCTCGTAGACCAATTTACTTGATACTACCCTCTAAATTACTGTAACTGAACTAATCAGCAAAAAGCGCTAGTTCTAAAGAATAATCTGTTTATGATGTATGTCTTTTCTCGGGAAGAAATTGTCAATATGTTTAAACCATCATAGCTGTTAATTTTTATGCTTCATTTCTTCTGGCTTCCAGGAAATTTGAACAAACCCTTGATGCACTTCGAGCGGATATCGAAGCTTTAGAGCATGAGAAAGCAGAACTTGAAGAGAAATTGGAGACTTTAAGTAAAAATGCCGTATTCGAAGGAATCAATAAAACTCCATTGGTCACTGGTAAGTTTTGTTTTCAGTTAATGCTTATGTGTAGTGCATATACTTTCAAAGGTATTGTAGTTGTATACATTCTTAGATCTTTGAATGGTAGAGTGATGGCCAATCACGTGGTTTGGGTTCCATTCCTGACTAATGCCCTCCTAAAATCTCGCCTAGTTTACTAGTTGATAGTAAGCCCAGTGAAGAATGAAGGTCAGGAATCAGGCTTTACTCTATAAGAAAAACACTACCTCTACTGAAAATTTAGCGCTTGAAACTTGGAACCCTGCATTGTGCGCGATGTCATTCAACGGCGTCCTCAACGTATACTCGATCCATCTCCATTTTCTCCTATATATTTGTCGAGCGATCGGCTCTTGGTTAGTTGGTCGCCAGCTAGGGTTTCTTGTTGTTAATTCTTTCTGGCTAGCCACTTGATCTTCAACATGGAACCAGCGAAGGTACCTGTTGATAGACGTCTGCAGTAACTTGTTGGAAACTCTTTTTGTGACGTGCAGTACAAGTTTCTGACCCGTATAGAAGAACTGACTGACTTGACATTTGTATTGAAAAGCGAATCTTGGTCTTTATGCTGCCTGAGTACAGAAGATTTCCAAACTGGCTTCAGGTTAGGTTGATGAAGGTGTATCTCGCTTTTTCGATCCTAGCTGGCTGGCTTTAACATCTTCATCTGTTCCAACTGCCTGTGATTGAAACCGTGCATTCTAGATAAATGAAAGAAGTAACCTCTTTCAAGTTTCTCCCATTGATAGTGATTGGTGCTGGTTGTTGTTGCTGTTGGTTGGTCATCTTCATCACCTCCGTCTATTGTATGTTCACCTGGAGTCCTGTCTTCACTGGCTGCTTCTTATACCAGTTTTTTTTGGTTTTCACTTGCAAGTCTTGTAGTCTGTGACATTAAACACAAATCATCCACACGCGAAATCCAGACCTTCTAGCGTTTTCTTATCTGTGGTCCAGCGTATTCCTGACTCCTCGCCACCAACAGTCTGACGCATAATCTACTCCACCACAATTAAGAATATCATCGGTGATAATAGGCATGCAGCCTTGTCTTACTCCTGTATTCACTTCGAACGCCTCACTGAGTTTTCTGTTATGGATCACCTGACACGTGGCATTGCTATATAGCCAGCTGTTGAATGAGGTTGACAAAGACTTGAGGTACGCCGTAGTGTTGAAGTAGTTTCTAAATTACTGGTGAAGGCCTTTTCGAAGTCGATGAAGTTGAGGTATATGTTTGACCGCCATTCTGTGATGACGATGCGTATAGTTGCAATTTGATCAGCACATGATTTACCTTTCCTGAATCCAGCTTGCTCCGGCGGGCGAAGTTCTGCATCCAGTACATCTTTTATTCTCCCCAGAATGACACGACTTAGTAGTTTACGCCAGTCGTTGCGGAGGTGTAGGTCACCCTTCATTGGTAGCTTGACAAGGTAAGGTAGGCTTTCTTCCAATCGGTAGGCACATCTCCTCCCTTCCAAACCTTTTGCAATAATGGCGTAACCCAACTACAATACTGGTATAATACTTTCTAAAATACTGGACAACAGATAGGCTTCTCATATATATCCACCTTTTTTCTAACTGCTAATATTAATAAATAGTTTATGTAGGAAAGAGTTGTATGATACAACAAATATGATGAACTTAATAGCACTTGTAAGCCGGTTCATACATCGTAGAATATTAAAAATTATTTATCAATGGATAAAATGGCTTTTAAGGTGTCTGTCGATACTGTCCTACTTTTATTAGTAAAAATGATGAGAAATAACAATAAATAATACAACATCTAGACAGATTATTTATACCAGTCGACTACGCGAACCTCGATTGGTTGGAGGACAGCTGTCAAAACGTACTAAACACTGATATATAAGACAGTTTAATTTTCTTAACAGTTCTCCCTAGTCACTGTTTATCCTCACTTGCATTTACCTTGGGATATGTATGATTGTAGATACAATGGTGGAAATTTGTAGTTCAGGTGGATAATTTTGGTGTAGTTTATGTACTCTGAGCTGGATCATCCAGCTCACCAAAATATGTTTTATGCACCAGATACTCGAGAGTAAGCCGAATAGAAGAATGACAAGTTGCATGTGGATCTGAAGGTGCCATCGTGGGGATCTTATGAAGAGGGAATGAAAGCTCACCGCTAATTGTGAGACCACCTAAAACAACTGCAGAGAAGAGAGTGAAATGGAAGTGTGCTGTTGAAACCATATGTTCTGGTCCGAACTCACGGGAATAGTAACAGTCATTTTTCTTTATTCCTTCACATTCCCAGTGAAACATAGGGCTTCAAGCTAGAGGCTTGAAGTTTCTGTAGCAGTGTTAATTTCTACAGGATGGGGTTTCTAGCCTCATTTCCAACCTTTCCTTTTTATTACTGGCTTAGCAAGCTAAATGAGTGCGTTGGCTGGGGATCGAACCCCGGACCATGTGCATGATCGGCGAGCGTCCTAACTGCTGTGCTACCGACGCGCTAAATAACAGTCATAATTATGTATCACTATTATTTTTATTATTATTATTACTATTATTATTGGTAAAATAATTAGCAGTTTGAATTATCAGAGAGTATTTGATCATTTACGCAATATTCATACTTATTTGCTTTATAGTAAGTAATAAATGTATGTTACTTTAATTTTCCCCTTTTGCTAGATCAAACTCCATCTAAGGGTCAGACTGCTACACCTGAAACTCCTTCAGTTGGTAAACAAACTTCTGTTGAGGGTGCATCACCTTCACCTGGTCCTGCACGTCTAGCTGCCTACAGAGATGCTTCATTCATGTCAATGGAGGTTAGTTTTCACATTTTGTTTTCTTTCTAATAAATAGACGTTTATAATCCCTTCAATCAAAATATCTCAGAAAAAGTCATTTTTGTAGTGGATATTGCTAGTTTACGTATTTAACTTATTAAACTTCGAGTGGTTTCAACTGTCTCACCCCCTTGTAAGCTAAGTCATACCTAGTAACATCGCTGATGAGTTCGACCCTAGACTAGAGAAACGGCCGTCCAGTGTTTAGACTACGTTGATATAGCTAGCAATCACTTCTGGTTGATGTGAGTGGTATACACCTATTCGTCCCAATGAATCAGTAGCATATGGCGTCTTGCATTTATGTTTGCTTCCTTGATTTTTTTTATTTCTTTATGTTTCCAGTGGAAAATAGGCCTTCAAGCTAGACACCTGAAGTTTCTGTAGCAGTGGTATTTATTTTTACGGGATGGGGTTTGCTAGCCTCATTCCCAACCTTCCCCCTTTACCAGTCTTATTACTGGTTTACGGAGGTAAAGGAGTGCATTGGCAGGGGATCGAGCCCCGGACCACATGCGTGGTTGGCGAGCATTCTACCGCTGTGCCACCGATGCATGCCTTCTTGATTACCATTCATGATATCAAGTACAACATATATTGTAATCTAAATAATTTGCACAGGGAACTGTGATGAAATTTCATCTCCTTGAACTGTGGATATTGCAAATTGCCAATTGGTTTTAGTGGGTTAGATTCTAGTTCAAAATGGCATTAATTTTACTCATCTACGTTAATTTACCACCAGTCAAATCAGAGGAGGATAATAAATAGTTTAACATTCGAACAAGTTAATTATTTTGACTATAAAAACACTCGTCTTATTTCCCGTCTGATTTTATTTGATCAATAACACTCATATTATTATTATTCCTGAATGTACATTATCCTATAGTGATTTTCATTCAAATATCTAATCAATCAATTCCACTCATGTATATAAATGAAGTAAAACGTTGTGTGGGTGATTTGGTATGATTATGTGCAATAATTTGTGCTCGAAACGTCATCAGTTAATCTTACTGTGTAATTTGTCAAAATAAAATCTTATCTATAATGGAGTTAAACTGAAAACAACTTTAAATAATCCCATTATTAACATTAAAACAAGACGACATATAAGCGAACTATATTGTTTTCACTTTAGATCTTCTTCAGGCTTTACTCTAATTTATTTAGATATATACACAAAATTTTTAACCAATGATGGTGAGTTTATGGATCAAATAGCAATAACAACGTGTTAAATGTTTTGAAGGTCAGTAATAAAGATGATTATAATGATAACAAGATTTATGCACGTGGTGATAAGATGAATGAAGGTATCAATATGTGTATGTTTAGGAGATTCAATAAATAATTTAGGTCAAATCTCAAAAGTTACGTAATACCGAAGCTGAAGTGGACAGGTAATTAGAGTTCAAAATAAATATCATAAAACTACGAAGGAAATGGAAAATAAGAGAGGGTGGAAGGGTTTTGATTAGAATTTGCCTAGGCAAAGGTAGAGCAAACTTCTTTTGTACGCAGACTAGGATTGTTCTCTCGAATTCCTATAGCTTCGGCTATTTGTAAAAAGGCGGGTTTGAATTCCATTCGAAAGGTTCGATGAAATGCGATGGATAACTTTGAAGGCACTTCTTCTGTCCACTTGGTGACTGCTATCAATCAAATGAGTCAAAGTAGAACTTCTTACAGATTTTATTTAGCCTTTTCCGAATTATGGAGGAAGATGCTCATTAATGGTGCGTTTGTTGAGCTGTCTAGTTGTTCGACCTACATAGCTTTCTCCGCAGGAGCAGAAACTCACCGTCATTGGTTAAATTTTCATGTTTAGCGCTGCTGATCTCCACATAGACTTGAGAGTAACGAAAGCTTGTCTTGGTTTCCCGATCCTCGCTTTGATATCCTCGTCAGTTCCGCTTGTATTTGAAACGAGGCTTCCCAGGTAGGTAGGTAGGTAGGTATTTAAAGGAGGTTGCTTCTTTCAAATTTCTCCCATTTATGCCGATTGTTGTCTGTTGTTGTTGCTGTTGGCCAGGAATCTTCATCACCATATGTTTTCTCTGTGTTCACCTGAACTCCTGTCTTCTCTGGATGCTTTTCTTCCAACTTGTTGCTTTTCACTTGCATATCTTCCAGTTTGTGGGAAATCAGACATATATCATCGACGAAGTCCAGATCCTCCAAGTGTTTTGTGTGGGTCCACTAACTACTTATAATTTACGTGAATACAGAAAGTGGTTGGGAAGAGAAACTTCCTAAATATTGAGTTCACCTACCATCTGGTCACTCTTTATGGATTTTTATATATCTATATAATTCAGACCATCACGCCGTTGACAAGTTATCTCATTAAAGAAAATATGTAACGGCATTTTTTATTCAAGAAAAAAGCATCATATTTATACATTTTTAACCATATTGAAAGTCGGTTAGGTCAGTGGACAATTAATAAACTGCTTTGAGAATGGTTGTCGATTGGCTGAAAGTTAAGTAAAGGATTAAAAATTGTCTAGTGAGATTATTTCCAGACCACAATGTTAACTGAATCCAGATTTGAAGACTAAACACTTCTACTCCTTTCAGCTACCAACTTAAAATGTTGATTTCAATTTTCGCCACTTCTTATCAATCTGCATCTATATATCGATACATAAATTGTAGCACATTGAACTGTTTTGAGAAATCTTTAATCTCCCTATATCAATATGTATGTGTACGTATGGGATCATATGTAAATCTCCTTCAGTAGGTTAGTATTTGAGTTCCGAATATAGTCCTACACTGTACGAGGTTGTTCCTCACAAACGTTATAGGGCAAATGTGAACTTTTGACACTTGAAGATGCATTGGTGGGACATGTTGGGCTACCTAAGGTAGTTGGAAAACTCTGATTCCAAACCTATGGTGTAGATAGGCTCCAGAATCCGAATGGATCGAATAGCATGTGAAATTGTTTTGGTCACCGGAGTCCATGGGAATGTAGCTCCTTAGGCTGCTCCACTGCCTTGTTGATCTGTCTTCAAGTCAAAAGTACGACTGACAGTAAGGCATAACACATTCACGTGACAACTAGATATTACTCTTAATGGTTTTAGTAAAATAACGCAGTTAAGTAGGCTAGTTCAGCTAATATACATATCTGAATTGATAGTCCGGAGGCAATTGCTTCGAATCCTACCACAATCTGGAACTTTTAATTTTCATAAGTTAGGGTTTCAAGCTTTTAGAGAATCAGTAGTGGGTTTGTAGCCTTATGTCCAACCTCCACTATTGTATAACATAACTACCACCTGGTAAACAACTAGGTGAGGTTTTAAAGAGGCGTTGACCCGGGATTTGGACGTTGATATTCTCGTGTGTCTTGCGAGCATTGTAATGTGCCTTTTTTGACTTACAGATCCTTTGGAATGTTCTTCGAAATGCATAAAGACTTAAATCTTTTTAATGACTGACTTTATTTTTTGTTTCAATGTTGTGTTTTTTTATTTAACATAGATTAAAGGCCTTCGCGAAGCTGTCCGACGTTTGTCTTCTGAGGTATCTAAGCTACGTGGTGAAAAAATGTTTGTGAGTTTACTAAATTTTGTTTTTCTTCTAACGGATAAATGATAAACTATGTGTAGTACATTAATACTCCTCTCTGAAATATACACAGATGTCCTCAAAGTTGTGGATTCTGTAAAAATTACGAAGAAATCTCTGGTAGCCACCTACCTCACAATAACCGAAGCTCTTTATTCTTATCAAAATACTGTTGAGCTTATGATTTTCGGGTTGTTTTTCTCATTCTTTTACGTTCCCAGTGGAACATACAGTTACAAGCATGAGCTTTGAAGTTTCAGGAGCAGTAGCGTTGTTTTTACAAAACAGAGTGGCTAGCCGAACACCCAACCCTCCCACTTTATCGAGCTTACTACCGGCTAAATGAGGTTTATGAGTGCGTCGTCTGGGTATTGAAGGCGGACCACGTGCATGGTCGGCAAGCATTCTACCCCTCAGCGACTGTAACACTTGATTTTCATGTAGTGGGAAATTTTCTGTAACTGAAATTTCACACATTTTGGACATAGTTAATGGACGAATTCATCGACCCTGTTGTATTTCTGTTCCCAAATGTAAAAAACATTTTTTTATAAGTTCAGCTGTCACCGGGTTCGAACCCCGGTGAGTGCGTGCTTCTGGAGAGGCCCAAACCAGGACAAAACAGCTGTCCAGTACTCCCTGCAGATTTTCCAATGGTTCTCTAACTGATGTCAGCTCATGATGAAATCCTCCATCCAAATTTATATTTGTTAGATATTTAGTGTTCAATGTGTTTAGCTGAATGAGCGTATCTGTAATTACCTGTTATGGATTCCATTGAAATAGATTGTTCGACTATCTCCAACCTACAAGCAACGTTGATTTTGCTGACTGATTGAGTTTTAACATAGACTTTTGCAGAAATGTGCAGTACTTCAAGTTGCCACACTCCATGCACAGTACACGAAAGTTGAGAAAAGAGAGAAGAAAGAAATTCACAAGAGTTATAATGCACAGAAAAGAAAAAGAATGGCAACACGGAAAGGTATGAGGGTTTAATAGATATGGGAGATTATAAAGAGTGAATGCATTTGCATTACTGAAAACGATTTTGAACTATATCACCAATAGTCTCCATCCCTTTGTTCTTAGTATCCCGAAATACTCCCAACCAGACAGTCTGCACCTCTCTAAGTGGTCGGCTGAAACCAGCTGTCAAAGACTTCATAGACATTCACTGCTAATCATGAGTAAATAGTTGAAGTTTAGAAACGTTTTGTGTTTGACACCATAGAGGTCAGTATCATATTCCGATGAGGGTCACTTCCATCTATTAGAGCTTAGTTGCATCCAACTAACAGGTAATCAGTGCGGCAGAGCATTCATAGTTTCTATTACCAATCACCAACTTTAAAATGGATAAATTATCTTAGTATAAGCGAATTTGACAAACTAAACGTATTCTTATTTGTTGTATCCATGATAATACTTACTGTGACTTTGACACACAATAATATAACACTGATCACTCGAATACTATACTGATTGAGAAGGTGACGTTTTATTGCCTCCACAAAAGAGGTGATGACACTTGAAATTAAAGTGTACTGTACAGTTACTTCAAACAATCGATAAGTTTCTAGTTTAAGATGTTAAGGCCATACTTTCACTGGATCCAGTGTTGTGACCTTTAACCTGAGGTAAGGGTCAAATGTCTAGTTCACAAATCACGGGAGGAACAGTAACTCATGATACATGTCTCTTCTTGTCTCTTAACCCTGTTAATTTTCCTAATAATTGAAAGGCATGCTGTTATTCAATATACATCGAGTCAAAAAAGAATTGACCTCCATTCAAAGTTTTTATTACTGCTATTCCAATCTAGATTTCTGCATACCCCAAGGAATGACATTTCCCTCCGCTAGTGCTTTCTATGCTAATCCTTTATACATTCGAGTCTCTGAGTTCTTTTATTTGAAAGAACTGTTTTCCCATATTTTCTTCATATTCTATTAGGTTAGGTGTTGTGCATGAGCAGAGGGTTTACTTTTAACCTTTTCTTATAGTGTTTGAAACGTTTTCATTCATTGAGCTAATTACTGATTCATACTCTCAACTTCAGACGAAAAATAATTTAATGAGTTTTCCGTTTTTTCGATAAAGTAGTTGAATTCTTGTAGTTGGCACATCTGCATTTCATTGTGTTCGCCTTATAGTCCCTTTTAGCTGACTCCACTATTGCCTCATAAGCTTTCGAATACTCTCTTCACACCATCTCCCCCATTTTACCAACAGACATCCAACTTGTCATTTCCCGATTGGGTTCCACTCAAGGATCTGGTGCGTGGTATCACCAAAAGATATCCATCCCCTCATCCTGCCGCATATTATCTAGGTATAAGTTTCTTAGTTGTTTTCGCTATCTTCTAGACTTCCTTGTTGCTTGTCATTTCTGCCTATCTGATCTTCAGTATCGAGCTGCTGATAAATTTCTGAAGTAGCCTGTTGAAAGTGCTATTCATGACACTCGGGCCAAGTTTCTAAGCCACATAGAAGCACTGAGCAATCTGACATATTCTGAAAATTCCGATTTTTTTTCCTCTTGCTTAGTGCAGTGGATTTCAAAGCAATGAAGACGTCCTGCTTTTCCGATCTTGGCTCCTTTTGACATCCTCATCTGTGCCGCTTATATAGGTGAAAAAGGTGACCTCCTTTGCATTCCTCCAATTTGTGTTGTTGTCTATTCTATATCCATTTGACATCTTGCATTTGTTGCCTCTTCTGTCAACTTGTTGCTTTTTGCTTCTTCACCTTCGAGTCTGTGTGACATTGAACACAAATCGTAAACTTGGTCCAGACATTCTAGAGTTTTATTGTTGATCCAGTGTATGCCTGTCTTCTCGCTTCCCACGGATAACGGCAGCAGTTACAGTTTACTGTCAGCTTTTCATTATCATTGGTAATAAAGGCCTCAAAGTAAGTAATTTTAACTACGTTTGAATGATAGAGTGGGTAGTATTTATTTTTAACTGACGAAGAATATTTTTCCTGTCGGAGTTTGAACCAACTACCTTCAGATTACACAAGTGTTGGTTTGTAGGTATTTGATTGGTTACAGGATTTTCATCATGAGCTGACATTGGTTAGAAAACCATTGGAAAACCTGGGAGTACTGGACAGCTATTTCGTCCTAGTTCAGGGTTCTTCCACAGTACGCACCGAAACTGCGGGGTTCGAACCTAATACCTTCTGTTTACAAGGCCACCTCGTCGACGATCAAGCCACTGGGACCCGATCATGGGTCATTGGATCGGGTCCCAGTGGCTTAATGGTATACGAGCCAGCTTGCCTTGTAACCGGGAGGTCCTGGGTTCGAACCCCAGTGGGTGTGTACTGCTGAAGAGTCCCAAACTAGGACGAAACAGCTGTCCAGTACTCCCAGGTCCTCCAATGGTTCTCTAACTAATGTCAGCTCATGATGAAAATCCTGTAACCTTCAGATTACTTACGCGTTCATTGCCTCTTAAATCGATCTGCGACAAGTTACTGACTCCATAAATTTATGGTCATCGTTTTTTAACTATGGAGGTGAGATATTCCAAATGATAGTAATTTTGTAAACAGTTAATTTAGCGGTCCCCTTTTTCTCACGTGTTTTTTAAACCAGAATCAAATGAAAAGTCTTGGAACTTTGCAAAAACCAATACGTCGTCAATATCTCAAAGCTGTTGATAATACCGCGAATAATGAATCTAAACCCTCATCCACTACAGAAGAAAAGAAGAAGAAGTAGAAAAAGAACAAAAGCCTATGATATCACAGGTGTTACGTGATGTTGATGCATTTCGAAAAGAAATGTTTTCTTTTATAGCTAATCTTCAAATAGTTCGATTGCCTAAGCCATCGAAACCAATTGAAGAGCCTCCTTCAGGTGCTGGTGATGGATCCACACAACAACAGGAACAAGAACAACAGTCGGCTAAAGCCATCGTGCCTACGCCTACAATGCAATTCAATAGACAGACAGCACAATTAGCGAAGTTGAAAAATGATTTAGAAAAGGTATTGATTTCTTTTTTCCCCCTTTTTTTGTATGAGCGTAGAATATTAATCATAGTTCCAGCAACACACATCTGGTTAATAAAAGGAAGTCGAACTTGCAATAATTAAAGCACTTTTAAATTTGATCACGGATTGATATCAGTTAGAGATAACCATTGAAAGTCAGGGAACGCTGTTTTTTAGCCGTTTCGTCTTAGATTTCAGGAGTCTTCCCAATGGTTATCTAATTAATATGAATCTCCGATCGAACTTGAAGCTAACCGAATTCCGATTAACTAACACTTGACAATTCAACTGTTAGCTAATCACCACTGAGAAAGTATAATAAATCGAAAATAAGTTGTTTGGAAGAAAGCGTATCATTGGTTTATTGCTTGAAATATTCTAGTGCTATACCAACTGTGTGAGGGCTAAAAATGATGTAAAATTACTTACGCGCTTGTGATTCATTCTGGTTTGAAAATCTCCTAAAGCTTTAGCGCTTCCATTATAAACTTCTCACTTTCAATTCAGGTGTCGTTATTCCATTAATTCTTAGTAGTAAGCTGGACAGTGTATAATTGAACTAATATATATTGCAGTGATGCAATAGCTATGCGGTGATAACATTTAAAAGAAGTTCATTGATTAATTGTAAAGCTACCTGGCGTCATAGTAAAAATACCACACTATGGCTAACGATACAAGAAGTGGTAGTAGTAAGTTATGCATCTGATAAGAATCGATTCCTTGGAGGTAAGACTTCAGTGGAATGAAAGCATTCACTCCAGGGTTCTCTGATGTTGGTAGTTAGGTTAGGTGATTACAAACATATATACATATGTATTCACTTTATCAAACATGACCATCTGCGGTGGGGTCATGAGCATGTCTAGCCATCGCCTTCCTCGACGGGCCATGTTAGCTGACATAGGGTCAGACTGGAAAGTAGCCAGTGGTGGTCAAACCAAAACATTGCTTCATCAGTCAATGAAATCCACAATAGTTACTTTAAAGCAGCCAGCCACATAGGAAGGTGTAGACTTCCTGGTTAGGGTCTTCGGGACGACAAGCACCAGTGACTGGAGGCAATCGGTGATATGGCTCAAAATCGTTCTCAATGGTCGGAGCAGATGCATCCACTCCTTGTGACTTGTAATTTCGAATAAAACTATTTTGTTCTTCGATATTACTATTCTTTTGCCTCATATCTCTGTTTACTGTTTCTACTTTGCTTTTGTTTTTACTTTCTTTTCTGGCTTTATGTGCCGAGTGAAGTGTGGTGACTCGAACTGCTGCACATCGGTGCAAAGTTCTACGTTGAAACCAGTCAGTCAGGGGTCGTGAGCGCGTACTGCTGAAGAATCCCAAACTAGAGAGAAACAGCTGCCCAGTGTTTCTTGGTTTTCAGTGGTTCCCTAACTGATATCAATCCATAATTAGACTTGAACAATGCATCAGTATGGAATATTCTCTACATAATCGAAATATTGCAAAACAACAGATGCCTATTAAATAAATTGTAACCAAGATGGCGGAGATTAAGGTTGCGTAATGTGAAAAGAAAACGTTCAGAAAAACTGGATGTTAATGAACAGAGCATAGAGATGGGCATCAAAACAAATCAGGTGATTAGGTGAAGAGAGTGAACAAAAGGTTAATTCAAAAAGTGATATCGATAAATAGTATACGAAAAAATGCACAAATAATATTGACGAAATACTGTTAACAGTTGAACTTGGAATAATATCTAAGGTAGAAGGAAGGGATGAAGAAGCTTCTTCTGTGTACATAATTAAGGATTTTTCATCCGAACCACTACGACCTTTGCAATGCAAAGTATGCGGAAGCATACCGTTCTCAAGGGAGGCTTCTTGTGACTGTAGACATAACTTTGAATGAATCCTCCTTACATATTAAGTGACCAGTGTTGAATATATATTCAGTAATAGCACTCCTTATTGATTCATTGTGACCTTTCTGTAACCAAGTGGGACAATGTCCTTTGACTCTTTTAGATTAAACACGCATTGAATGATCCATATATTTCGCTCCACTGAAGCAAGTGAATTGGTAAATACACCGAGAGGTGGTCGAATGCGATAACTTATCTTTAAAGTTATTGGAGAACATAGAACAACAAGAGAATACCAATTTTAATGTAGAATCTTCTTTTTAGCGCATTTAATATTCTTTTCTTTACAGTGTCAGTTAAAAGGTCGCCTTTTGAACGCTACGTTTATATATTATTACATCTTATTCGGCACAGGGATGGGGTTTTCTTTGTTGTGTTTGGGTCTTATGTGTTTATCTATAAAGCACTGGTGGCCGGAGGGGGGAGGGGATATCCATTTCCAATTACTGTTTCCCTCTAGAATGTGGTCTCTTCATCTACCGACACCGAGTTAAAGATTCCTCGAATCCAAGTTAGAAGAGATATTCTCATATTTCGTTTGCGATTTATGGGCACTTCATTGAGCATGTAATTATAGCCAAGGTAGGGGAAGGAGTGTGGACTAGACTCTCAGTTTGTTTCAGAACACCTGTAGCATCTATGATCTGTATATTTATGACATAATAGTTGTTTCCGACATTTTCCTCGCATGAATACCTTGAATTTTTTGTTTGTTTGATTATTCATCACTTAAAAATGAACAAATTGAACAAATTATTTTTATTTCTTTCTAAATGATAGAATTTTTTCCCCCTATCCTAATTCTTTTCTTTCGGTTGTTTTATATTTTCTACACGTTTAGTTACAACAGCGTGCAGTTGAAGCTATCAAGACAGAAATTCCAGGTGCATCAATCCAAGCCGATTTCACATCCTTCCCATCCGTAAAATTAAAACGTCTATTTAATGGTGAAAATAATGAAAATCTTCCGCTACGTTCTCGTTTAATATTCCCTGGTGGAAATGATTGTAAAATGAATCCAACAAAAGTTCGCATGACTAGAGAAGATCAACAGATTCTACATTCACATTTACTTAAATAAATGCCTGTTGTTTTATCATTTGTTGTTGTTGTTTATTTTTTTGCGGGGGGTTAAAGTTTACTTACCAGTCAATCCTGAAGATATTTTTTACTTCCTACTTATCATTAATACTTTTATTTACAATGACTATTATACGCGCATACATACTTCTATACATAATATATTACGGTCAACCGTGGACCCAGCTGAAGACGACATCAGAAAACAGAATAAAGTGGAGATGTGTTTTTGAAGCCCTATGTTCCACTCGGAACGCAAGGGAATAATAATAATAATAATAATGTGATGATTGCTAGCATATCTATCTATCCCATTAGTGAGTGTAGTAGTCAAAGCCTATCGAAAATTTTTGCAAGTGATAATTTAATTTAGAAGAATATTGATAGCGGGATTATTTGCGACAAACTACTAGGTTTAATGAAAATCATGATTACAGGCTACTTGCACAAATGTAATAACACAACGATTCTAATTCTATGTAAGGAACACACATCCGTCATATTGAAACGGTAGGAGAGGAAAGACTTGGTATCTCTATATGGCCGAATTATGTACACCTGATCTTCAACGCACCATTTGTACAGATCTTCCGTGTTGTACCACTTCGTGCAACGTGCATTTTTTGACAGCTCGAGAATTAAACATTAGTCTAGATCCTTCACCAAAAAAGAAAAATAAGGGTTGTATGGATCTAAATTATAAGTAAAAAAGGCTTTTGCTCCTTCTGTCTACAAGCCTGTTCAGCTTTTTGTCAAGATGCTACACCATAGACCCTACAGAAACTCCTGAGACATCCCACAGGTCAGCTTGTCCTACGAATTCTAATCTTCCGGATCTTAGAATTCACTTCCCACTGGAATATCACTTATCTGCCTCACAATAACCTTTTTATTTCCGCACCATTATACTCTACTTTATCTTAACTAACTAGGCCATTATTAAAGCTAAAAGTTTCTCTTTGTTCATATTTGTTGCTTGCTTAAAGTCTGGTTGCTTTGATTAAAAACACTACAACACCAATGTTTGAACAAAGCTATATTTCCATAGAAAACATCATAGTTTCCATGCTTAGACCAATATGGTTTGCATTAAACATTGCAAATGTGTACTATCATTCCAAGGAGTCTCCAGCTCCTTCTTGTATATATCTTGTGAATTTACTACCAATGATGTATCATTCATGATTGCATTTTTATACCATTGGCAGTTTCCCACAACGTTCTCCTCTTCCTGAAATAGCTTTTAATCACGTGGCAGCATAGCACTTACCCAAATATATGCTGTTCACTGGTTGACCATAACTATCAGTGGGGAACGGAATGAAGTTTGGGTTGTTGCTCAACTTTGATGGTGACCTTAGTAAACGGTTTACAATTTAACATTTATAAGAACCTGTTCTGATTGCTTGTACAATAATCGAACAATTTGAACTTTTGATAAAGTATCAGGGTTGTAATTTATAACATAACTGATGGTGCCTGTAAAAATGGCATGCATTTCTCGTAAACTTATCCGTTTATACGAAATATAGATTGTAATTATTATCTCAACCCACCTTTTTTGTTTCGTTTGCATTTCTAAGGTTCTCATATATTATTATTATTGTATTATATTGTTTCCTTTAATTCCTAGAGGAACATAGGGCTTCAGCCGTGCGTCTCCATTGCGTTCGGTTCTCTGCTAGAATCTTCACCTGGCTCCAAGTCTGCCCACACATTTTCATCTCATCTTCACATGACCTCCTCCAAGTCACCTTTGGACGACCATCTAGCCGCTTCTCTTTTGGGTTCCACTCGAGGGCTTGTCTAGTGATGTCACTTGATGGTTTCCCAGAGTATGGCCAATCCATCTCCATTTCTCCCTCCCTATTTGTTTCACAATCTGTTCCTGGTTGGTTCGCTCCCAGAGATCCCTGTTGCTGATCTTCTCTGGCCGGCCATCTGATCTTGAGTATTGAGCGAAGACAACTGTTAATGAAGGTCTGTAGTTTGCTTGAGATGGTCTTTATGACGCGTCAAGTCTCTGATCCGTAAAGTAGCACTGAATTCACATTGGAGTTGAAAATCCAGATCTTATTTTTGATGCTGAGTGCTTGAGAGTAGTGAAAGCTTGTCTTGCTTTTCCGATTCCTGCTTTGATATCCTCGTCAGTTCCGTCTGCCTGTAGTTGAAACGATGCTTCCCAGGTACGTAAAAGAGGTTTTTTCTTTCAGGTTCCTCCCACTTATGCTGATCTTTGTCTGTTGTTGTTGTTCTTGCCCACGAATCTTCATTATCTCTGTTTTCTCTATGTGCACTTGAAGTCCTATCTTCTCTGGATGCTTCGTCTGTCAACTTGTTGCTTTTCGCTTGCATATCTTCCAGTTTGTGGGAAATCAGACATATATCATCGGCGAAGTCCAGATCCTCCAAGTTCTTTGTGTGAGTCCATTTTATTCCTGTTACTTCATTGCCCGCTGTTTGTCGCATTATCCAGTCTACTGCAATCAGGAAAATCATTAGCGATAGTAGGCAGCCAGCTTGTCTTTCTCCTGTTCTCACTTCGAAGGATTCCGTAAGTTTCCCGTTGTGGATTACTTGGCATGCAGCATTGTCGTACAGCTGTTGGATGAGATGTATAATTATCGGTGGCACCCCATAGTAGCGAATTAGTTGCCAAAGCACCTCTCGATCGACGCTGCACTATCGAAGGCCTTTTCAAAGTCGATGAAGTTGAGATAGAGAGGTGACTGCCATTCCAAGCTCTGTTCAGTGATGATCCGTAATGTGGCGATCTGATCAATACATGACTTGTTTCTCCTGAATCCAGCTTGTTCCGGTCGAAGTTATTCATCCAGGTTGGCATGTTTGATTCTCTCCAGGATGATGCGGCTTGGTATTTTGTTTGGGATGGACAGGAGCATAATTCCGCGCCAGTTCTTGCATTGACTTAAGTCTCCTTTCTTTGGTAGTTTGAATAAGTATCCTTTCTTCCAATCCTCGGGTACTTTGCCTTCTTTCCACACCTTCTCCAGTAGTGGCGTCATCAAGTTCGCTGTTGTCTCTGGGTCCATTTTCAATGCTTCTGCTGGGATTCCATCTGGTCCTGCTGCTTTTCCAGCTTTTAGCATCTTGATTGCCTTCAGGATTTCTTCGGGGGGTTGGTGTTCACTGGTAGCTCTGTCTCCGTTGTTGGTTTTGTTGAAGGTCGATTTAGGAGTCTTTTGAAGTGTTCAGCCCAGTGTTTCCTTTGCTCCACTTCTTTGGTGAGTGACTTTCCACTGTCATACTTCACTGGCTTAATTTGTGACGAATTTTTGCCTGAGAGGTACCTAGTTGTTTGGTAGAGTGTTGCGAGGTCTCCTTCGCCTGCTGCTTGTTCTGCTTCATTGGCCATGGCTTCATAATACTTTCTTTTGTCTTCTCTGGCACTCTTCTTTACTCCTTTGTTCAGTGTATTGTAGCTTGCATTCAACTCCTGTTTTTGTTGCTCATCGGTGCACTGGATAATCTTTTGTTTCACCATCCCTCTCTCTTCTATCAGTCTCCAAGTGTCCGTAGTGAGCCACTGTTTGTGCTGTCTCTTCTTTCTGCCTAGAACTCTCATGCAGGTTTGACTCCACACTGTTTTCAAGTTGTTCCAGTGCTTTTCGACGTTGACCTCTTCGCTAGTGTTGATTTGTGTCTCGGCTTTGTCCTTTATGCTTGCAGTGAAGATGTCCTTTGTGTCCTGGTCCTTCAGTTTTTGAGTGTTGAACTTGGCTTGTGGTCTATCTGCAGCTCCTGTTTCTCTGAAAGCTTTTAATTTGATTTGGATTGTCCCTTGTACGAGGTAGTGGTCTGAGCCAACGTCTGCTCCTCTTCTTACTTTCGTGCCCAGTAGGCTGCGCCTCCAATTCCTTGAGATTGAGATGAAGTCAATTTGGTTTTTGGTTCGCCCATCTGGTGACACCCATGTAGCCTTGTGGATATACTTGTGTTTGTATACGCTGCCACCAATCACTAGTTCATTGAAGGCGCAGAAGTCGGCGAAGAGTTCTCCGTTTTCATTCATTTCTCCGAGAGCTTCTCTGCCCATGATGAGTTCCCTTCCTGTGTTGTCTGATCCCAGTTTGGCGTTCATGTCTCCCATTAGTATTTTAATGTCGCCGACTGGAGTATTGTCCATTGTTGCCTGTAGTTGTCTGTAAAACTCTTCTTTCTTCTCGAGGTCTGCGTTGTTTGTGGGTGCATAGCATTGTATAATTGACACTTTCCTTCCTTTGGAGTTGAATCTGGCGGTCATTATCCTGGGCGAGATCGCCTCCCATTGCATCAGGACCTTCGTTGCTGTTGGTGACATCATGATAACCACGCCCTCGGTGTGCATGTGGTTATCCTATGGGTGACCGGAGTAGATCACTGACTCACCCATTGACAATTTGGTGAGTCCAGTCCCGTTCCATCTGCTTTCACATATCCCCAGTACTTGAATTCCGTATCTTTTCATTTCGTTTGCGATCTGGGCAGCTTTCCCATCTCGACATTCCATGTCCACACACAGACTTTTTCTTTTGGCGCAAGGAGATTCGTCGTGCTGAAGTTTCTGAAGCAGCTTTGTTTACAGTGTTGGGTTGCTAGCCTCACGCCTGGGATGGGGAGAGAGAAAAGGCTAGTTCCGTGACCACAGAGCCCAGGCGACAACTGCTTGAGGCCGGTCACACGCGGCCTGTTTTTGGTTGTTCTTTATTGTTTGGTGTGTCTCAGTAGCATATTTATCACTTCTGCCCTGTGACACAGCACCAGGATGCGCGGCATGATATTTTGTGAGTTTGTTTGACTCATAGTATTGGATTGGGTAGCTGCTTTTTGTCTAACCGCTATCCAAACAACCTTTCTGGCATGATAGGACCTACAGAAACATAAGATCCAGCCAGTGTAGCTCGTTGGGTCATTGCGACATGCAAACGCGACCATCACGTCAGGGTAGGCGCTATCGTAAAAATAGTGCTCTGCAATCGAATAAGTTGTATTTCACTTGTGATAAGTAAAACCAGTAATCCTCAACGTCATTTGGTGTCAATGTGCATATCCCAAACACATAAACTTGCTAAATGGTTAGTGGAATTATTACATCCAGTCAAAACACAGTTCTGTCAGTATGTCATAAAAGATATATTTGAACTGGATAATTGTCTTGATGATCCTAATATGATAAATAAAAATAGGTGTATTTTGATGTAAATTCCTTATTCACTTATGTGACTTTACTCAAAACAAGTGACATTTTGTGTGATAACATTTCGAAGAAGAAGCGGTCAACACGCCCATCCACTTCACTGCTTCTCTTCAAACTAGGAGTCGATGTAGAACACTGCTGCAGCATCAAATCACTTTTGTCAGCGACGAATCACATGTCTGACATACTGAGATTTTTGTTCAAGGTGTTCAGAAGACTCGGTATTTTGTTGTTGGCTTCTTCACCTAGAAAGACGATATGAGCAATATACTCGAAATCGACAAGACGCTAGCGTGGTGACAGTCAAACTCTGACAAACACTACTGGTAATCATCAATTCAGATGACAACTGTTCATAAACACATACACTAGTTCTCCCACAAAGGCTACATTCCATTTCTTTTTAAGTCGATTTTCGGATTCCGTAGGGCACACCGGTTTACGAGATGAACGATGTTGACGGTTGAGCGAGAAACGCTGTTTACAAAGGCAAGTGTTTATCCTGTAACTGCCAAAGTACCTATGTCAAATGAAGACGTCAAATCAACTGTCGAAAATACGAGATATATTGTTTCGGAGTAGAAACCTAGAGGGATGTTGATTGCTTAGCCAGTCGGGATTGATACATGCAGGACGGAAGATGACATGATAGCCTGCCAAATGACGTGGATGCTTGGCTTCACCGCGTGCCTCTAGCTTGACAGGCCAACCTAAACAATGAAGGCTAGCATCCAATGCTGAATGAAGAATGCTGTGGAGTAATAATAATTTCAGGGGAGCACTCACCGCCACAATGTGCCTTCACATTTCCGATTAACTAGGAGTATTAATCAATTATCTTGAATCGGTTCACTTCGAGAATTGGGTAAGTCTAGGTAGTAGAGATATGGAAATCGTCTCCACTTTCTATGTTTTAGAGTTGTGAAAATCTGCTCGTTTAGATACGGTGGACGAAGAAGTTGAAAGGCGTCTCACAATACTATTGAAGTGATTTCAGTTCAATTCAGTAAGGTGGTGGTGGGTGGTATGTGCTGACAGTTTTGGTCGACATGTTTATGACAAGATTAAAGAATGGCCCCTTGGAGAGTGTGATCATTGAAAGCTAGTTCTTGTGTACATGTCTATGGAGGATACTTTTACCTTGGATAAGAATAAAATCACTACTGAGGATTTTGTGAAAAGACTTTCAATATGGCTGATGCGCAAATTAATGAACTCTCGATACCCTGCTAGTAGGATAAGGCAAGCTGACAGTATGAAGCGAGGCATTTTCCGGAAAGCGTGATGGCTTAGGCGATACACCGATTTCAGTGCGTTCATTCTTCTTGAATGGAGAGGGAATCTTACCAGTGGTGAGATGTTTCG